GGAAGGAAGGAAGGAAGGAAGGAAGGAAGGAAGGAAGGAAGGAAGGAGGCAGTTTCTACTTACCATAGTTTAGTACATTTACTCTTGAAACCCAGATACAATATTGTGAGGATGCTGTTGCTACTCCAGGGTGAGGCCCAGTAAGCAGGAACTGGCAGCCAGTACCTACTTGCCAGCCATGCAAATGAACTATCTCGGAAGAGAATCCACCAGTTTTACTGGGCCACCCCAGATGATAGCACATGGAGCAAAGATGAGCTTTCTCCAGCAAGTTTCCCAAATTATCAATTCATAAACACAATAAATAGTTGCCTTTAAAAAAAAATAAAAAAAAAATAAAAGTGTTTACCCATAATCAAGGGGAGGAAATTATACAAGGTATGTATAATAGGAGTCAGGAATCTTGGGGGCTAAGATTCTGCCTACCATAGACTATTTAACTTAATACAGTTATTGACATGGTTGGATTTAAATTTGTCATCTTGATGTTTTCTATTTGTCCCATCTGTTTTGTTATTGTTACCTTTTCCCTTATTTTTATGACTCCTTTTGGATTGAGCATGTTTTATAATTTCATTTTATTTACTTTGTTGACTTATTATTCATAATTCTTTGTTGTGGTATTTTAATAGTTTAAGGATTATATCTTTATCCATCTTTAACTTAATCTTAGTCTGTCTTCAGGTGATGTTATATATATCATTTTACATATGGCATAAGAACATTATAACAGGATACTCCCATTTCTGCCTCTTGGCCATTGTGCTTTTGTTATATAATTAACTTCTTCATATATTATGAGCCCTATATTATTGTTTTCCCCCTAAACATTCAGTTATCTTTAAAAAAATGTAAATAATGAGACAAAATTTTTTACACATGTAATGACCATTTCCAGTGTTCTTCAGGCTGTTGTCTATATCTAGATTTCTATCTGGTATCATTTCCTTCTGCTTATGGTGCAGATCTGTTGGTGATGAATTCTTTTCAGATTGTGATTGTGCATGTCTGTGAAAGCCTTTATTTTTCCTTCATATTTGAAAGATATTTTTGCTGGCTTAAGAATTCTGTGGATAGGTTTTTTAGTTTTTTGTTTTTGTTTTTGGCAGTACTTTAAAGATGATAATCCACTGCCTTTTAGTTTGACTTGATTGTTCCAGTGAGAAATCTCCTGTCATCCTTATCTTTGCTCTACTCTGCAGTATGTGTTTTTCTCTGGCTGCTTTTAATTTTTTTCTCTTTTTTACTGCCTTTAAGCAATTTAATTATGATGTGTCTTGGTTTGGTTTTCTTCACATTTCTTATGTTTTGGGGCTTTTTGGATCTGTAGATTTATAGCTTTGATCATGTTTGTAAACTTTTTTGGCCATTATCTTCAAGTATTTTTTTTCTGTATCCCTTGCCTTCAGGAGTCCCAACTACATATATGTTTGGGATCTTGAAGTTGTTCCACAACTCAATCATTTACTGTTAATTTTTTTTCCTCTGTGTATTTTATTTAGAATAATTTGTATTGCTATGTCTTTAGGTTTACTAATCTTTTTCTCTGCAATGTCACCTCTATTGTCAACTCATTTAAATGTATTTTTCTTCACAACCATTGTTGTTTTCACCTTTAGAAGTTCAATTTTGGTCTTTTATATCTCCATGTCTCTACATACTTAATCTTTCCTCTAATATATGGAAACTAGTTATAATACCTTTTCCCCAACTTTATTTATTGAGGGATAATTGACAAAATAATTGTATATATTAAAATTATACAACATGATGATTTTATACACACACACATACACACACAGTGGAATAATAACCAAAATCAAGATAATTAATACACCATCTTCTAACATAGTTGAGTCTTTTTTTTTGTTATGTAGTGAGAATACTTAACATCTACTCTCAGCAAATTTCAAGTATATACAATACTGTATTATTGGGCCATCTTTGGAAAAATGTCAATTCAGGTCATTTGTCTATTTTTTAATTACGTTATTTAGTTTTTTGCTATTTAGTTGTATGAGTATATATGTGTGTGTGTGTGTGTGTGTGTGTGTGTGTGTGTGTGTATGTATATATATTAGATATTACCTCCTTAACAGACCTGGTTTGCAATATTTTCTCCTTAACAGACCTGCTTTGCAAGTATTTTCTCCCATTCTGTAGGTTGCCATTTCAAGTTATTATTTCATTTGCTTTCCTGAAGCTTTTAAAACTTGATATGGTCCTACTTATTTATTTTAGCTTTTGTTACCTATGCCTTTGGAGTCCTATCCAAAAGATCATAGTCAAGACATATGTCAAAGAGCCTTTTCCTATGTTTTCTTCTAGGAATTCTAGTTTCAGGTCTTACATTTAAATTTTAATCCATTCTGAGTTCATTTTTTTTTTTTTTTTTTTTTTTTTGAGAGAGTGCACACATGAGTTGGGGAGGGGCAAAGGGAGAGGGAGAAAGAGAATCTGAAGCAGGATCCATGCCCAGCACAGAACCCAATGTGGGGCTTAATCTCATGACTGTGAGATCATGACCTGAACCAAACTCAAGAGTTGAACATTTAACCAACTGAGCTACCCAGGACCCCTGAGTTAATTTTGTTGATTAGTATAAAATGGGATCCAGTTTCCTTTCTTTGTATGTGGCTATCCTATTTTTCAATATCATTTATTCAACAGACTACACTTTTTCCTTTGTGTGTTCTTGCCCCCTTGTCAAAGATTAGTTGACCATATATGTATGAGTTTACTTCTGGGCTACCTGTTCTGTTCCATTGTTATACGTGCTTGTTTTTATGTGAGTATCATACTGTTTTGATTACTGTATCTTTGTAATATGGTTTGAAATCAGGATGTGTGATGCCTCTAGCTTTGTTTCCCTTTCTCAAGATTGCCTTAGTTTTTAGAGATTTTTGTGGTCCTGTACAAATTTTAGGATTATTTCTATTTTTTGTGAAAAATGCCATTGGAATTTTGATACAGATTGCCTTGACTTTGTAGATTGATTTGGGTAATATGGACATTTTAACACTGTTATTTCTTCTTTATTTAAAAACCTTGTTTTAAATGTTTATTTATTTTTGAGAGAGACAGGGACAGAATGCAAGTGGTTAGGGGCAGAGAGAGAGGGACACACAGAATCCAAAGCAGGCTCCAGGCTCCGAGCTGTCAGCACAGAGCCTGATGCAGGGCTCCAACTCACAAACTGTGAGATCACGACCTGGGCCGAAGTCGGACGCTCAACCGACTGAGCCACCCAGGTGCCCCAACACTATTATTTCTTCTAACCCATGAATGCAGGATAACTTCCATTAATTTGTGACTTCCTCATTTGTTTTCATCAGTGTCTTATAGTTTTTGGTGTATATCTCTTTCACTTCCTTGTTTAAATTTATTCTGAAGTATGTTATTGTTTTTTTGGTGCTATTTTATTTTTTATTTATTTATTTTTTTTTAAATTTTTTTTTTTTCCAACGTTTATTTATTTTTGGGACAGAGAGAGAGACAGAGCATGAACGGGGGAGGGGCAGAGAGAGAGGGAGACACAGAATCAGAAACAGGCTCCAGGCTCCGAGCCATCCGCCCAGAGCCTGACGCGGGGCTCGAACTCACGGACCGCGAGATCGTGACCTGGCTGAAGTCGGACGCTTAACCGACTGCGCCACCCAGGCGCCCCTTTTTGGTGCTATTTTAAATGGGATTGCTTTCTTAATTTTTCTTTCAGATAGTTTATTGTTAGTGTATAGAAATGCAATTGACTTTTGTATAATGATTTTATATCCTGCAAATTTACTGAATTCATTTATTAGTTGTAATGTTTTTTTGGTGGAGCCTTTAGAATTTTCCATATATTAGATTATGTCATCTGCAAACAGATAATTTTCCTGCTTCTTTTCTGATTCATATGCCTGGGGTGCCTGGGTGGCGCAGTCGGTTAAGCGTCCGACTTCAGCCAGGTCACGATCTCGCGGTCCGTGAGTTCGAGCCCCGCGTCAGGCTCTGGGCTGATGGCTTAGAGCCTGGAGCCTGTTTCCGATTCTGTGTCTCCCTCTCTCTCTGCCGCTACCACGTTCATGCTCTGTCTCTCTCTGTCCCCCCCCCCCCAAAAAAAAAGTTGAAAAAAAAATTAAAAATAAAAAAACCCAAAAATTCAGTAATTATTTTTTCATGCCCTTCCTCAGCCATTTATACATTAAACACATATAACGACTGCCTGCTATATACCAGGCATTCTGACTAAATAGTTATTAAACAAGTGAGTATTGAATTATCATAAGTTAGCTATCATTTATCGAGCACTTATTATATGGCAGATACTGTGTTAAGTGTTTTACATAAACACTGATACTACCTTTAAGTACGTGATGAAACAACTAAAGCTCAAGCATGCTAATGTCATAGTAAATGGCAGAGTCAGGATTTGATCTCAGATCAGTTTGACATCTTGTCAGATTTGGTCATTTACTTAAATGACTATTCTTTCACACATGTAAATTTTGTTTATTATTTTTTCAAATCCAAAGATAGAACAATAAAATATTTTGAACTAAAATATTTTAACTAATTAAATATTTTTTTTCTTTTAATCCACAACACATATGCGAATTGCTCTGGATTTCCATAAAAAAGGTGCCTTTGTTTTGTAGATGAGCAAAATTTTCTATTATCTGTAAAGGAGCATTCAGGCAAAATTTGGGACACTCAAGCCCCAAATAAATTTATTACCAAGATTTACTTAGATGATGTTGAGGGTTTTTTTTTTTTGTTATGTTTTTTCTCCTTCTGTGTGTATCCTTTGTTAATATTAATAAATATTAATAAAGGATGTATTTAAAAGGGTAATTTTATTTTGAAATTGGAGAGAGGAAAATTCATGCTGCAATAATGTCAGAGTTTCCAGGGGAATATGTTGTGAAATTGTTTGTCTAAACACATTTTATTTGGGGTTCAGTATGAATTTTCAATAGATGTTTTTTCAGATAAGAAAGCAGTAATTCAAACGCAATTATATAAACAAGAAGATCAGAGAGGAATTATCCTGAAGGGTATAAAATGAACCAAGAGCTTTTAGTCTGGGTCATTATACCGTCAGCTCACCAATGCAAAGTAAGGTAGGTGTCTACACTGAAAAGGCTTTGTGAAATGAAATGTTCTTACTTGAATTCTTTCTTCATTTTCATGATTTTAGCCAATACTCAAAAATGGCAAGTGCTAAGTGATAATTTGCTTCAATAGACTCCAAGAATTCTAATTACTGCTCCAAAATTGTTCAAAGGTGGTGGAGGTGAGTGAATGACATATATAAAGATATGAAAAACTACATTGACTTAAAGTAAGAGGAACAACTGGTCAGTTCTCTAATGAAGGCTGATTGATGTTCATGGCTTTCTCTAGTTACATTTTGATTTAAACATTTTTATCAGTGTATTAGATCCTGTCAATTACTAATGGTTATGTTTGATGATCATATACTTCTGGGAAAACTTACAGTAAATTCACTTTGGATAGTGTCTAATGTACACACCTGCCTTATAGTATATTTTGGTTTCCAGAAAAATGTTGCTTTAGTGAAGTTCTGGATTGCTCATAGGGTGGGCAATTGATTTTTTTATGGCATAGTAAGGAATTTGGAGACAAAAGATAGGCAAAGGAATTTAGCAGAGTAGAGAGCAATGTGTTTATTAAGAATGAAGGTAGTGAGAGCAAAAAAAGAGGGAGGGAGGAAAAAGGTGGGGTAAGTGGCAAAGGAAAGAATTTACTTTATGTAAGAAAAAATGTTGAAAGTGTAGACAGATGGTCATACCACTGAAAGAGGCATCTCTCATTATTAGGACCTGAAATCATGCCTTCTATTTTTAGGTGCTTAATAAATCACTTATGATGACTTTAAAGAGGCATTTAAGTTGCAGAGATGAGAATCCAGGTGACAATAAAGGAGAAATTATAGCAGATCATATAGGGAGGTATTAACTAATAGTGATTTATATAGTGTTATATAGTTATTAGTCTTTGTTCCATAGCATTCCAAGAGCTTCACACATATTGTTTTATTCTTTTTATGATTTTTAGGAAGGAGCATGTGGAAAAATGAAGGCAAATGATATTAAATTGCTCAGTTACTCATAATTGTAATGAAATCTGGAAGCAGAATTCTAGATCACTAACTCTTATAGCTCAGGGAACTGACACTGATTTATCACATAGAATCACAATCTATTTGTGCTGAAAAGACCTTCCTGATCATCTTCTAGTTCTAAGCCTTCCTTTTATAGATGAAGAAACAGGCTCAGAAAGATTCTGTGGGTGAAGTTTTACTATTTGCAATGAAGGGGAGAGAACAATTCTTACTTTTTTTTACACTCACAAAATTATACAGCTACTATTGCTTGTAATTCAGCACTTAAAAATTTATTTATTAAAAAAATTGTTTTCATTTTATTTTATATTTGCAAGAGAGAGAGAGAGACAAAATGTGAGCGAGGGAGGGGGTGGGGGCAGAGAGATGGAAACAGAATCTGAAGTAGGTTCCAAGCTCCACGCTGTCAGCGCAGAGCCTGACCTGGGGCTCGAACCCATGAACCCATGAGATCATGACCCGAGCTGAAGTCGGACACTTAACCAACTGAACCACCCAGGAGCCCCTAAAAATGTTTTTATTCATTTTTGAGAGAGAAGGAATGCAAATGGGGGAGGTGCAGAGAGAAGGGGACAGAGAATCCAAAGTGGGCCCTGTGCTGACAGGAGAGAGTCAGACGTAGGGCTCGAACTCAGGAACCATGAGATCACGGCCTGAGCTGAATGAAGTCTGATGCTTAACCGACTGAGCCACCCAGTAACTCAGCACTTTTAATTTTTCCTTTTGTTAGTTCAGAGTTTTACATTTATAAGAGGAACTCTCAAAACATATACAGTATCCATAATGAATATGGCAACAGTGGGTAAAAGTTCTAAAACAGTGTTTTATCCTACAATTAAAAAAAAATGGTTAGGTTTACTTGTCTCTTTATGTTTTCCAGATGAGAAAATAAGGCCCAGATGGATTAAATATTTTAGTCAATTTCTCATAGATCTATGGGAGATCTTGAAATAGCATTCTGTTTCCTAACTCCAGGACCAATATTCTCACCAGATCACCACAGATCTATTTTATATAGAATCACAGACAGAGCTAATAGTTAAAATATCCGAGTTAATTATTTTTTATGCAAAAACCCAGTAGTTGGCTAGATAGGCAAGAACCATATGATCATGATGGCTGAATATTTTATATCATTCTTAGAGAATCCTCTAAATCTGTGGTTTTAAAATAATGGAACCAATTCTCTACCATAGATGGAGCTCACATTTGTGAAGCACTTGAGAAAACCAGACCCATGAGCCAGAAATTCTTATATTTTCACTCCTTAACTGAAATACCAAAAAATTCCAAAGAATACTTGAATATGCAACATTTTATCCAAAAGAGTTAACCAGAAAACCCTTTTAAATGGGTTACTTCACTTCCTTGTTTATACAGAAGACGTTTTATATAATTTTGTATCTTGGAGTCATGATTTGGACTCTTTCAGAGCACTTAGAACAATGCTTTTATTATTAGTGTTCACACTTCTCTCCTTAGACTGTTAGCCCTTGAAGTCATGGACCATAGCTTATCCATTTTGTATTTCTCATCGTCTGGTTCAAATGCTCAGTATATGTTTACCTAATTTATCTGCTATAAGTCATAATAATATTATCCATCTGCTTAGAATGACCCATCAATATTGAACAGACTCTCCATTAAACAGGTTCTATTGAGATACATATTCTCCTTCTACTTGAGGCACCGTGGACCCTCTGTTATCTTCCAGGTAGTCAAACCTCATTTTATTTTCCCGGCTAACCCACAGTAGATCTGTCCTTGAATGGTATTACTCTCACTATGTCAACCTATATTTTTTGTTTCTATAATTTGTTTTAAGATAGTGCGCTCCATACATTTTCTTAGTAAAATAACTTTTATTTGTCCAACTCCACTTCTTTCAACCATCAGAGAATATTCTCAGGGTTGGAAAAGGGGGGGGGGTTCTAGATTTCTGGGTTAACCCTTTAACACCGGTTAGAATAACACTAGAATAGTTGGCCCATTCTAGGCTTTCTCTAGCTTCATCTTCCTTGACAGACATTGGATAGAATTGTATGCAAGCTTATTTGCACTGAGATGGCACTACAGTTTGATTATACATTTTCTTGGTTTCTATATGCTTTCTAATTACGACTAGTCTGTTGGCCTTTTAAACTATCGAACCAAAGATTTTAGAAAACTCCTGTTTTGAAAAGCCCCTACTGAGGCTTGTTAAGTCACTTCCTATAATTAGAGGCAGGTATTTAAACTGTTTCTACTGAATGAATTGTTTTGCGCTGAGTTGACCTTATGTGTCTGTGACTTTTCTGTTGTGATGTTTCAGGCTTTCCATTTCACTGCCCAGTGTTGTTAAGTGGCACTTGCGAGCAGGACATTTGCTATGTGAGTTCCTACACTATGACGTATATGGCTCATGGCCACATTATAAAGAAAGGTTATTGAGAGTACTAAGTATGTAAAAACACCTAATATAGGGCCTAGGACAAAGTAGGCATTCGATAAATATATATATTTACACACACACACATGCACACACATATGCACACGCACTGTAGCTCTTTCTAAATGTCCCTTCTGAATGTCCTAAAGGATTCATGTAATAGATTCTTTAATTTTGTCTTTGATTTAGCATGACTGCAATCTACGTGATGTCCGTGCTTTTTGGCCTGGCATGTGGACAAGCGATGTCTTTTTGTTTTCCAACTGAGTATATGATGCATGTCGAAAGGAAAGAGTGTGCTTATTGCCTAACCATCAACACCACCATCTGTGCTGGATATTGTATGACACGGGTATGTAGTTCATCTCACTTCTTTTAGCTGAAAATTAGATAAACCTAGACTCAGTCCATTTCTATCCAGAAAGGAAATGAGATAAATCACAACCTCATTTCGCAGACCTAACGGTCATTGGCTCCTTAGAGGTAGAGTTCCTAGGTTATAATATACGGACCTACTCCATACAGGTGGTACAGATAATTTTTACAATAGTTTTACTCCCAAAGTTTATTTAAACCTTATCTTGTTCCCACGATCAAGGATAAAAGAGGTGTGTGTGTATGTCATTTTTGTCTCTATAGGATTCAGTGTGGATATGCTGAATCGGTATTGGGGAATGGGACTAAGGAATCCTCCCCCAGTCCTATTTGTATCTATGGGATGTAAGCGAATTAACATTTTGCTTCCTCTTCTGTTCTTCCCTCAGGATATCAATGGCAAACTGTTTCTTCCCAAATATGCTCTATCCCAAGATGTTTGCACCTACAGAGACTTCCTGTACAAGACTGTAGAAATACCAGGATGCCCACACCATGTTACTCCCTATTTCTCTTACCCGGTAGCTCTAAGCTGTAAATGTGGCAAGTGTAATACTGACTATAGCGACTGCATACATGAGGCCATCAAGACAAATGATTGTACCAAACCCCGGAAGTCCGATGCGGTAGGAGTTTCTATCTAACTTCAATAGCAAGGTCACTTGCGGTTCAGTTCAATGTGTTTACCTGGAATACAATTAATAAAATACCAATATGTTTCACAATACACTGTGTACATTTTGAGTACTCTTTCATCCAAACCTATACCCACACATGCATTAGAGAGCTTAGGGGATTTAGAAGAAAAGGTCAATGAAACAGCCTTTTGAGCTCGTATAAAAGATGGTTTCCACATGGAAGGGCAGAGAGCAGGTAAAATGGCGAACAGGGATATCAGACATTGATGAAAGCCAGCCTTGAGCAGGCTTTAAAAAAAATTTTTTTTAATGTTTTATTTATTCTTGAGAGAAAGAGAGAGCATGAGTGAGGGAGGGGCACAGCAAGAGAGGGACACAGAATCCGAAGCAGACTCCAGGCTCTGAGCTGTCAGCACAGAGCCCGACGTGGGGCTCGAACTCATGAGCCGTGAGATCATAACCTGAGCCGAAGCCGTGAGATTGTGACCTGAGCTGAAGTCGTGAGATTATGACCTGAGCCGAAGTCGGACGCTCAACTGACTGAGCCACCCAGGCGCCCCCTGAGCAGGCTTTCTTAACAGAAGGCCATGAGGTTTGTCTTGATATAGAAAATGAATGTGGGGATGCTGCAGAGTTATAAGTAGAGGGTTATGTGATCAGAAAGTGAAGGAATATATGGCAACAGGGTACTGGAGACACTGACTTCCAAAGGCTAGAAGCAGGACTGGAGTGGAAATGGTGGGTAAAGAATATGTGAAATCTGCAATATAGCCTTTTATTCTAGGCTACTCAAATGCATGTGATAAAACTTCACCAAAACTCAGAGGACAGTATATTCCATTCTAAAAACTGTTCTCTTTAATTTAATTACTCTGATGGGCCACTGACTTATGAAAGTTATACGCCCAAAAGCCTAGAAAAGAGGCCATGATCATTTTACATGTGGAAGTCTAAATCCTTTGTATTCTTTCAAGTAATAGGAGACACTTTTCAGCATTTATACCAAGAGTAACTTGTGCTGCTTTGGCTTTTGATGTCCTAAAAAACTAGAAGGATTTTGAAAGATTTCAGGGACAGGGGGAGAATGCTAAGGGATTCAATAACATAGAATCATCCTAAATTTTAAACCTTCATCAATATTGAAACACTGTTATCTGGAAAATGCACTTGGTAAGTGGCCGTTTATTTTTCTTTTCCTTCCTTAGGTACTCTTTCATGAGTTTGGTTTCAACACACGTGTGATGTGAGACAGACCTAGTCTGACCTCAAAAAGACTTGACCTCAAAAAGATGATTTATCCTGTATTTGCCCATTTCTCTCCATCTAAACTGCTACCCTCAGGGTAAAAATCAATTATCAGCAGGGATGGTTACCTTTGCTGTATCCCACAGACACCGGCTACATTCAGTTGGGCATCTTGTAAATGCCCGCATGCAGACACGGGAGAGCTGGGCGAGTGCGCGTGCGTGTGTGTGCGAGTGCGCATGTGTGCAGGTGTTCAGGTGGCATAGATGGATTACCACCAAGCCCGTGCTCTGTCAATGGGGAGGGAATAGTTGCACATTTATAGACAAAGTCAGGAATCCACATTATGCTTACCTTACTGTGTTTGAGGTTGACAGTACAGTTTCCAAGTATTAATCTGGGGCTTTGGGTTCTTATATCACTTTATAACATGAACACGTTAAAGCTGCAGGATTATAACATCCCCTCTGAAAACTGTGTATCAAACATAGATCTCTGATTAATGAGTAAACTCTTTAATGTTCAAACCTAACTGGCACTAATCACGTGATTCCATGGCTTTCATGGAACCTGAAAGATATTTTCCAGCGACTTGAACTGTGACTACGCTGAGAGATTTAGGGAGGCCCCTTAAACAGACTTCCACTCAGAAGACATTGCATAAATTAGCTTCCTATACCTGTAGGGAGGAGGCTAGGCCTGGACATGGCTGTGGTGGGCCTATACCATCATGGGCCACAGAACCCTAGAATGGCATATCAGAGACAACTTGTCTCCACCCACTGAAGGCAATCCACTTAGAATAGGGGCACGTATAAGTTATACTGAACTATTTTTAAAAGTGAAGTAGTCTAAGACAATCCTTAGGAGAAGGGTTCGGGATCGGCACGATCAACAATTTGCCTCAACTGGATCTAGAAACACGTGTATATGGAAATGCTCTTTTGGAGGATATCGATGTTCTTTGGGTTTAAGAGAGGCGGAATGAATAGAGAGTTCAGAAATGGGAAATAAAGAATCATTGCTGGTGGAATAAGGGAAAGATGGAGACTTTGGAACATCTTCTGAAGTGGTTTTTAATTCAACCTAAAGTTTAAAGGAGTCAGTTCTTGACAGAAGTTTGAGACTCAGGTCTGTAAAAAACCCTTTTGTTCCTCATTTGACTCTGAAATATAAAGAGTTTTTTCATAAGTAAATGGATCTGGGATCAGTGCAGCCGCCATCTCTGCTTTTCTAATAGCCAAACTCTTCAGAAGTATGTAAGAAAGAGAAATAAAAGGCATCCAAATTGCAAGTAACATTGTCACTATTTGCAGATGACATGATACTACATATAGAATACCTTACAGACTCCACCAAAAACCTGTTAGAACTAATAAATAAATTCAGTAAAATTGCAGGGTACAAAATCAATCTACAGAAACCTGTTGCACTGAAAACAAACACTAAAAAACCCCACAAAATTATCAGAAAGAGATTAAGAAAACAATCCTATTTTCAATTCTATCAAAAAGAAGAAAGTATTTAGGAATAAGTTTAACAAAGGAAGTGAAAGACACTGAAAACTCTAAGACATTGATGAAAGAAATTGAAGAAGCCACGAATAAATGGGAAGATATTCTGCTCATGGATTGGAAAAATGAATATTGTTAAAATCCACACTAGCCAAAGCAATCTACATGTAGATTCAGTGCAATCCTTATTAAGACGCAAGTGGCGTTTTTCACAGAACCAGAGCAAACAATTCTAAAACTTAAAACTTGTGTGGAACCACCACAGTCCCTGAATAACCAAAACAACCTTAAAAAATATTTTTGTTTTATTATGGAAGTGTAGTTGACATATGATAGCATATTAGTTTCCGATGTACAACACAGCGATTCAACAATTCTCACTATACATACAACTAAATATAAGACATATTTATATGACATATGTTGTATACACTACAATATATATTACTCAGTACTTACCACAATAAGTGTAGTCATCATCTGTCATCATACAATGTTATTCAATATATTGACTATATTTTGTATGCTGTACTTTTCATCCCCATGAGTTATTTATTTTATAACTGGAAGTTTGTTCCTCTTAATCCCCTTCATCTACTTCACCCATCCTGCCACTCCCCTCCACTCTGGCAACTACCAGTTTATTCTCTGTATTTATGAGTCTGTTTTATTTTGCTTGCTGTGTTTTTTTTTTTCCTTTGTTTTTAGACTTCACATCTTGTGAAGTCATGTGGTATTTGTCTTTTTCTGTCTGACTTATTTCACTCAGCACAATACCCTCTAGGTTCATCTATGTTGTTGCAAATGGCAAGATCTTATTCTTTTTTATGGCCGAGTAATAGTCCATTGCATATATATATATATATATATATATATATATATACACACACACATCCATTCATCCATTGATGGACATTTGGGTTGCTTCCGTATCTTGGCTATTGTAAATAATGCAGCAAGGAACATAGGGGTGCATATATCTCTTCAACTTGGTGTTTTCATTTGCTTTGGATAAATATTCAGAAGTAGAATTGCTGGATCATATGAGAGTACTATTTTTAATTTTTTGAGGAACTTCCATACTGTTTCCCATAGTGGCTACACCAATTTACATTGCCACCAACAACATACAAGGGTTCCCTTTTCTTCACATTTTCATCAACACTTATTTTTTGTTTTGCCATAAAAAAGAAGTAAAATCTTGCCATGTAGGACAACATGAATGGACCCTGAGGGGATTATATTAAGCAAAATAAGTCAGAGAAACGCAAATACTGTATGATCTCACTTATATGTTGAATCTTGAAGAAAAAGAAAAATAAGCTAGAGATACAGAGAACAGAGTGGTGCTTGCCAGAGGTGGGGAGTTGGAGGTGAGTGAAATAGGTGAAGAGAGTCAAAAGGTACAAACTTCCGGTTATAAAATAAATAAGTCATGGGGATGTAATGTACAGCATGGCATCTATAGTTAATGCTGTATTGCATAGGGGAAAGTTGCTAAGTGAAGGTAAATCTTACAAGTTCTCATCATAAGAAAAAAAATTCTGTAACTATGTACGGTGACGGATGTTAGACTTATTGTGGTGATCATGTCAGGATATATACAAATATAATGTACATCTGAAACTAATGTTGTATGTCTATTATACAGTATCTCCTCAGGAAAAAAAAAGTTCTCATTTATATAAGAAATTGTCCCTCTCCCACTTCTCAGTAGCAAGTCTAAGTACAGTAAAAATTTTTTTTATCAAGGTAACTTCCACTTTAACCCCCTATTGCTCAATGTTGGATTCTTTCCTACCCTCTCATCTCTCCTGGCTAATTCCTAGTTATCTTTTCAAAGAACTCTGGCTCACATTCTCTACTTCTGTTACCCTCCTTCCACCTGCTGTTTTTGTCTGCCTAGCATTCATGTCCCTTCTGGTCGGTGCACCTCGATTTTCCTTTGGGCTTCTCCCCATGTTTGTTTCCTTCCTCCCTCCCTCCCTCCCTCCCTCCCTCTCTCCCTCCCTCTCTCCTCCTTCCCTCCCTCCGCTCTGTGGCACTGCAGCTCTTCACTCCCCTAGTTCACCTCTTGGCACACACCTGCTGTGTTCTCTGCCTCAAATTATTCAGGTTGTTCTGTTAATCCTCAGATCAATTTCATAGGTGTTCAAAATGGGTTGATGTTGATCTGTGTCCAAGGAATGACACAAGCCCAAGGTCCCCTTACTACTCTGCCATCTTAACTCCTCCCCACACTGAAAAAATTTTGAACGAGTTACAAAATCAAATTTGAACCTTTCAAGATCACTTAGCTTTAGTATGAACAGTGACTGGAGGACAAAGTCAGAGGATTTCATGAGGATTTAAAAAAATTTTTTTTTCATGTTTATTTATTTTGGAGAGAGAGAGAGAGAGAGAAAGAGACAGAGCATGAGCAGGGGAGGGGCAGAGAGGGAGGGAGACACAGAATCAGAAGCAGGCTCCAGGCTCCGAGCTGTCAGCACAGAGCCCGACATGGGGCTCAAACTTACGAACCGTGAGATCATGACTTGAGCCAAAGTCAGACGCTTCACCGACTGAGCCACCCAGGCGCCCCTTCATGAGGATTTCTAACTAATATACTGGAATTCCTACCAAGAAGTAGACAGAGAGAGGGAATTGAGGGAAATAGGAAACTAGAATCATTCCCAGGTTTCCTGACAGCTAGAAGATGGTGGCACACAGGCAGGAAAGCAGACTACAGTGACGAAGCAAGTTGGAAAAGACTATAGGACATCCAAGAGGAAACATAAACAGGCACTGAATACATGTGAAGGATATATACATTCCTGAAGCTCAAGGAGGGAGTCTCACGAGAACTATAGTTTAGGAATCTGCAACATACAAGTAGTAGTGCCCATATTTGAACAATATGAGTAGCTTTTCACATCGAAGACCTCAGTGAGAAAGCTGCAAAAAGTAGAATCCAGTAATGTTTCTAACTACAATCCAGAATTCAGTAATGTTTAAAACCCAAAACAGTTCGTATTCCCCATCCATTCCTTAATCTCAGGCTGGAGAGTCTCTATCAGCTACCTGCACTTCAAGGGAGAGGGCAATGCATTGGGTTTGTGCAAGAAAGCAATCCCCCTGAAAGCAGCTAGAAAGGAAGAGTGAAAACAGGCACAGGGGACTATACAAGAAAACTGTTCCCCAAAACCATTGATAGGAGAAAAAGGACAGGGTTTCAATACTGCCAGTTTTTAATAAACAGTAGAGCACAGAGTCAGAGGTCAGCCCCTGGTGGTGCTCTGGTGAGGAAGCAAGGCAGAGGCCCAGGAGCAGGAAGCACGGTCTGAGGATCCCCTGGGTCCTACAGGGAGAAGTGGTTCCCCAGCTTGCAGTGCATTTAATAGAGGTGATATGGCCTCTCCGCGGGCAAAAGACCTGGTGGGCACGATCAAGCTGCCATATTCACCCATATAGGAACAAAGACCCCAGCTGAGGGTAACAAACCCTGGTACCGGCTGTGTTTGATTCACCATAAACCCTAAGCCACTGTGTGGTGGTGCAACTGTTTCCTGGAACAAGCAGGCTACAGTTCCACGAGACTCCCCCAGATCACTGTGGGTCCGAACC